AGAGTATCATACGTGTAGATATATACATTAATAAACATTGGAAGTTAATATTTATTATCTATTCCATGATCTATACTTAACTTTTAGTACGTAATTTACCTTATCATTAACATATAATTCTTTTATATAACGTACCAAAAGTAAGTGAATCATTAATTGATTCACTTTTTCTAGTGCAATTCTTCACATCGCCGCTTTGAAACTAAACCGTAGTAACTCAAGAAAATCGAAAGATGAGATATTTGGGTCATTTTGTGTAAAAAAAAGTACCCTTTTAGAGAAACACGTGTTATCTTCATAGTTCCATAAAATTAATTTAGAGAGCTGATAAATCGTTATCGCATTGGCGCGATTTGCAATCTTGGTTTTAGGGAATAGTGTAGCAGTGTGCCAGTTGCAACAAAACCTTAGAGGAGATAACGTCGCTTTGAAACTAAGCCGTGGTAACTCAAAAAAGCAAGTTTTTCAGGAGAGCGATTTTTTTCCTACACTGTTGTATGTCAAAATTTGAAATGAAACATGTAATATTCGGGAGAATATTTTGAAGAACATCGTTGTATTTTGAAATAATTCTCCACTTTTAATAAAAGTTTTAGAGAAAAGTGTTGCAACTCAAAATACCTTAACTTATTTCGAAATTACCACAAAATTAGAAATGCTACAAGAATCAAGCCTGGTTCATTAAAAATTTAACGAAACAGGCTTTTTTAAATGTAAACTATTTTGCAATAGTCACCATAGCCTCGAGTCAACCTGCGGTGGAAGTTCCTGAAAAGTTAGAAATCGCTCTCCTGAGAAACTTGCTTTTTTTGAGTTACCACCTTTTTGTTTCAAAGCGACGACATGTTCTCTTATTTTCTCTTCTCGGCCGAAAAGCTTGCAATTTCCACACTGATGGTAAAAATCCATTTCTCCAATACCACTGCCGGCCATTTTTAATTTGTTATCTCAACAAGCACACCTACTTTTAAACTAGTGCACTTCGTGCGACACTAACCAATTTCAGTTCGAATAAAAAAACCATCAGTTTCGCACTGGTTCAAAACTCGTTTCATTTTGGAACGACTGGAGTGGACCTAAACTCGCAGCCTTCGAACGAGCTAGGAAGAGGAAAGTGACGTCATTTTTCTACAGTGAACGAATATCTCTAATTTCAAAATTTTAGCAGACGGATTGTATTCGATCACTAGTTTCTACGAATTCATCAGTCAAATCGCTCGTGAATCCTATTCGAAATTGAAACAATGGCGGCCCTTTTAAGTTCCCCGCAGAATTTTTTGCGATAGGGAAGATGCCTTTAGTTTCAGTGATACCCTATTTATTAGATTCTTTCGGCTAGATAAATCTACAACAATTTATGTTGTTGAAAAGATTAAACATCTCTTGCCGCAAGAAGGTCTACCACCACACCTTAAAGTAAATAAACATTATTTCTCTTGAATTATAGCTATATTTTTCTTTAAATATAATACCTGTATCACATTTAATTAATTAAATTTATTCTAAACTATCAAATTATTAATTCTAAAGCAGACTATTGTGTTATTATTCTAACGACTGTTCCATAATTATTCTTTTGCTTGTTAATTCTAAGAATTTGTATCTTGATTTATTCAATTTTCAGCAACTTTTTTTTAGTTATTACCAATAAAAGTTATAATCTTACTTTTTCATTTATCAGAACTGCATCTAAATAATGCAAATTAGTTAATTGTGTACCAAGCTACTATGTCGTCATCCATCTTTTATTTCATTTGTAATGCTTAAAAATTCATGAATTTTATTTTCTTATTTTGATTCTAACGTAGAAGAAATATTTATGATAAACTATGATTAATTTAGGACATGGAAATTCTAGAAAGATCTGTATATTTTGCTGCATTATGGTTATTTCTAAGTTGAAATATCTATCAAAAATTTTTATGTTTTGTAAAATATTTTTAAATTGGGTAAAGAAATTGGGCTTTTCTTAAACACACACAATACATAATAACACAAAGAAAACAAGAAAATAATACGGAAAACAAAACATATAAGGATAATACATTGTTTAAGAATTCCCCTGATAATATAAGTTTTAAAAATTTATATTAAATTAGTTTTTTGTTGTGTATTATGGAAAACAAAGCATATTGTTGATAGAGAAGTATTTAATGTGGCTCATGAACAAAAGGGAATAAATGTATAAATAATAATGATGAAACAATGTCATATTAATTTTATTTTGTCAGTTGTAGATAAATTTTACTTTAAAGTTCAAAGTTTATTAAATTAAACTACAAAAAAATGTGTCATTTTATTATCATCTTTAAAATATAGTGTATAGTTTGAGAAATTTAAAAATCAAAAAATATCCTAGTATTGATTTTTAGCTAAATTTAGAATACTGATTTCTTTTCGGGTATTGATTGCTCTAAGGTTTAATGCTGCTGGTGGTTACCAGCAAACAGTGACGAATGACTTTTGTTTGGCTGTCAGTCAAGTAGCTGTCAGTCGTTGCCTTGCTGCTGTGAGCCAGGCATTGTGTGAAAGTTTCTTGAAAGGGGAAGTAAGATTTTCTGTGATGGAGATAGAGCAGCACGCACTGAAAAGAAACTTCTATCCAGCATTTGGAATACCGGGTGTGATCGGTGCTCTTGATTTCACCCATGTTGCAATCAAACAACCAATAGAGGATGGCTCCAACATCAGGAGCAATAGTTATTTTGATAGAAAACAACAGTTTTCAATAAATGTTCAACTGGTTGGTGAAAATAGTATTAGTACCAATTGATATAAGATTACATGTATCGAATTTTCATTTGCAAAGATTTTTCTTTTCATCATTCAGTAAAAATTTTTAATGAAGTAACTGTGGCAGTTTAATGACTTATAACCTTTCCTTGTTTGCACAAATAATATAATAATTGAAGAATTTTATCTAACAAAAAAATAACAAATGAAAGTGATGACTTAGCTGCAACGATAATAAATTCAAACATTTTATAAATGAATTTTAATTTAATATCTTTTAATATAGAATTATATTTTATAGAGAAGTTTTTTCTTTCATTTATTGCATTTCGTAGAAGAGTTAAAAAAATAAGTTTTATTATTATTATAATATTGTATTCATCTTATTAAATAGTTACAAAATAAATCAATTTCATTTTTACTGTATTAGGTTTTTCTAGATTTGTGATGACAAGCTCCTGATTAGGTCCATTAATGCCAAATTTCCTGGGAGTGTCCATGATGCTTTCATCTGGCAGCAAACTGTAATTAGAGATTTTCTGCAGCAAAAGTTTGAGACTGGAGCAAATAGTGGTTGTCTTCTTGGTAAGTAAATTATTATAATTAATTTTGCAGAAGCAAAATAACATTTTATAACGAATTATTTTTAACAGACGGTTCGAGACAAACTAAGTTTCCCTAAGTTTAAATTCCAAATGTAGTATTCTGAGAAAATATTTCTACTTTTACAAACATCGTGTGCGCATTCTTTTAATGTTAAATCATATATATTTTTTTTTTGTCAATAAATAATTGTTCAATTTATATTTATTTATAAAATTAATTAATTGAATATTATGTAAATAAAAATTAATTTGTGGCAATTTTTTTAATTAAATTACTATAAATTTGAGAATTGTGTTTACTTAATGCGTAACACATTAAAAGTTTTACGTAACTAAATTGTGTTATTTAAAATATGTCAATTGAAATTATTAAAAAAGTGAGTGATTTTGTCTCCATTATTCGTTTGAAATGAATATTCTGTGTTGAGCAATATAGGCTAAATATCAAATATTTGTATGCTGCATCTCTAATTTAGTAGCATCAATTGTTGAGCAGAATCTTGTATCTATGTACATTTTAAAAACTTCTTGAAAAGGTTTTTAGCAATTATTGCAATAACAGGACCCTATTTGCACTTATTCACAAAAGCAGAACCCTGGTTGAAAGAATGTGACTTAGCGCTTATAAATTTATTATGAATAGTTTATTCACAAATTATAAATAGTTTTCACAATTTTACAAAAACAGGACCTTTCACAAAATGTCTGGACAGACCCCTGGTCAAGCACGCACCATGCTCATTAAAGACTAAAATAGCTATGAATCATACTCCTGACATAAATCATACTTCTAGGTAGGCAATTTTCTTGTCTAGTAACAATCTTGTGTTTGAAAAAAAAAAAAAAAAGACTATGCTGTTAACTCTATGAAGGACTATGGTTTCAATTCTAACCACATATTTTGTGGCAATAATGTAAAAAAATCATTTAAATAAATCATTCTACTGGTTCCAAACTAAAATAATTTTATTGATTCTAGTGTTTTATTTTGAAAAAAATCTTAACCTCAAAGAAAGAGATATCTTTCTATATTTAACCTCAAAGAAAGAGATATCTTTCTATATTTTGATTTCTCGTTTATTTTTTTTTTCAAGCGATAGTGGCTATCCCTTGGAGCCCTGGCTTATAACTCCTTACCATGATCCAAATCCAAATAGTCATTCAACAGCTAGAAACTGTGTTGAACGGTGCCAATGGGTTATTGAAATCACTGTTTCGATGTCTTTAAGCACAGGGTGCTACACTTTGAACCCACAACAACAAGTAAAATCATCAACGCCTGTGCCATTTTGCACAATCTATGTGTTTAGAAAAATATAGCATATGACCAAAGTTTTGATGAGGAGAGGAAAGTGAAGATGAATTTGATATTACAATGCATCCACTATTTTCCTTGGGAAATACATCTCTGCGAAATGAAGGTTTGCGTGTAAGAGAGACCATAAAAAATTCTTTAATTTAAATCCCTATTTTTACTATGATTCTTTTTTAATTATATTTGTTTACTTTTTATCATATTTGTATCTTATGTATTTTCATCATTTGTTTATTTTGTATTAATGAATTCAATAGAAAATTTTTTTCAATTTTAGTATGTCTTTTTTCTTCTATGTAATTATTCTAACATAAATGAAATTACTTTTAGCTACCTTAATTTACGATAAATTTATTAATGAACTTCTGAACAAAATCCATAATGTAAAATGTATCATCAGCATTAATAATAATAAAACTTACGAAAGGTAAACAAAAGAGTGAATATCTTATTAGGGGAGCTAGCTTCTCCTTAAATAAGCTAGCACAATGAATAATGTAAAGTCAACGAATATTAAATTTCAAAGTATTGATATAAGGAAATACAATTTTGAGTGTGTGAAACAAAATGTAGTCTTAACAGATATATCATTCAAAATTTATCAACTTAATTATTTTTTCTTATATAATTCCTTGTTCAGTGTTCATGCCTTGTGATATGATAAAGTATATAACACTTAAAAAAATTTGTTTTTTTTTATTGGGTGAAGATTTTAATTCCAATCTACAATGGAACGCGCCCAAAATTGAGCTAACAAAATGATCATTCCCATCTATATCGCTGGGCCACCGACTACTCGAAATTCCCTTTTCCTTACATAGTAAGTCAGGTAAAAGCGTAAGTATGTGACATTAACTAATTTTATTGACGCTCCTTTTTCACTGATCGCTGAAGCAGCTATTGTTGTCATAGTTACAAGAGCCAAAATCCACTTCCAGTCTTATGATGCGGATTGTGGAGTGCCAAGAAGATAAAATTTCGATTGATTGGTTTCAGGCGTATTGAAAAAGAAAAACTAATGTTTACATGGGAACTGTAATTTCCAGCATGTTCAATTTTCAACAACCTCTCCTTGAACTAGCGGCGGTTGATTTCGCTATTCAGTTTGCTGTTTTCGCTGTTTCTTCTTTTCTAAAGACTGAAAAGTTTTACGATATAACAGGTAATAAGATTACCTATACAATGTTTTTGGTGCTAATACATTTACAATTTGCAAGAGCCTTGCTAGCTGCTTTACTTGATTTGTTCCACTCTGTTAAATTGAATTATCTGATTATAAAAACTACTTTGGCTTACTTCAAAGTGATAAAAAAAAATAGTGATTGAAATTTAGATCTTTTTAAATAGTGTTAATTTGAATTGGATCAGATCTACAAAAAATTTAATATTGCCAATTTGTGAGAATAAAATTCTTTAGTACACCTAGTGTTTTCACCTAGACATTTAATTTTTTCAACAAGTTTATAATTTTAATAAGTGTTTGCAAAAGGAATTTATCATTATTTTTTTTAATTTAGTGTATAGCCGGTGGTCGAGAGTAACATGTTACATGTAGCAAGTATTTTTGTAGATTTTTTTAAAGCAAAGACTTATAACTATCATTTCATATTTTATCAGTTTCTACAAAAAAAAAAAATTTAAATCTTATATAAAGCTGTAAGAAGAAATGTTTTGGTTAATGTAGTCTGTTTGTAATAGTAAAAATGTTTAATATAAATAATAAGATTTAAATCATTTAAAAAAGCTATTGTGTTTTTTGTAGAGTACATGTATATGGCAAAATTTTAGGTATAACCATGTACTTCTAATTTTGTTTGATGGAGTATTTTGGCTTTTGTACATATTTAGCTGCTGATTATCTATTTTAAAGCTTCATACATAAAGTTCTTATCGAAAAGTTACTGAAGTGTTATTAAAAGTATGCTTCACAGTGAAAGGAATTAAATTGATTCGTACTTAAAAAGGTTATAGTGTTTATGAACTATCATGATTGTCACCATTGCTTTCGTTAAGATGGATTTATTTAACAATAACCTTTTTCTCTTAACATATTTAGATAAACTTTTTTTCAAGATTAAATTATCTCTTATAATGTGAAATAACTATCACTGTCGGTAAAGTTTTTTTAAGTTAATGTATTTTTCCACGTGTCTGCATACCCTCCAACTTATGAGGATTTTGAAAATAATTCTTTCTAGTGGTAGCGAACCANTAATTCCAATCTACAATGGAACGCGCCCAAAATTGAGCTAACAAAATGATCATTCCCATCTATATCGCTGGGCCACCGACTACTCGAAATTCCCTTTTCCTTACATAGTAAGTCAGGTAAAAGCGTAAGTATGTGACATTAACTAATTTTATTGACGCTCCTTTTTCACTGATCGCTGAAGCAGCTATTGTTGTCATAGTTACAAGAGCCAAAATCCACTTCCAGTCTTATGATGCGGATTGTGGAGTGCCAAGAAGATAAAATTTCGATTGATTGGTTTCAGGCGTATTGAAAAAGAAAAACTAATGTTTACATGGGAACTGTAATTTCCAGCATGTTCAATTTTCAACAACCTCTTCTTGAACTAGCGGCGGTTGATTTCGCTATTCAGTTTGCTGTTTTCGCTGTTTCTTCTTTTCTAAAGACTGAAAAGTTTTACGATATAACAGGTAATAAGAGTATCTATACAATGTTTTTGGTGCTAATACATTTACAATTTGCAAGAGCCTGGCAAGCTGCTTTATTTGATTTGATCCACTCTGCTAAATTGAATTATCTGATTATAAAAACTACATTGGCTTACTTCCACGTGAAAGTGATAAAAAAAAAAATAGTGATTGAAATTTGAGATCTTTTAAATATTTTTAAATAGTGTTTGAATTGGATCAGATCTACAAAAAATTTAATATTGCCAATTTGTGAGAATAAAATTCTTTAGTACACCTAGTGTTTTCACCTAGACATTTAATTTCTTCAACAAGTTTATAATTTTAATAAGTGTTTGCAAAAGGAATTTATCATTATTTTTTTAAATTTAGTGTATAGCCGGTGGTCGAGAGTAACGTGTTACATGTAGCAAGTATTGTTGTAGATTTTTTTAAAGCAAAGAATTATAACTATCATTTCATACTTTATCAGTTTCTACAAAAAAAAATTTTAATCTTATATAAAGCTGTAAGAACAAATGTTTTTGTTAATGTAGTCTGTTTGTAATAGTTAAAATGTTTAATATAAATAATAAGATTTAAATCATTTAAAAAAGCTATTGTGTTTTTTGTAGAGTACATGTATATGGCAAAATTTTATGTATAACCATGTACTTCTAATTTTGTTTGATGGAGTATTTTGGCTTTTGTACACATTTAGCTGCTGATTATCTATTTTAAAGCTTCATACATAAAGTTCTTATCGAAAAATTACTGAAGTGTTATTAAAAGTATGCTTCACAGTGAAAGGAATTAAATTGATTCATACTTAAAAAGGTTATAGTGTTTATGAACTATCATGATTGTCACCATCGCTTTCGTTAAGATGGATTTATTTAACAACAATAACCTTTTTCTCTAAACATATTTAGATAAACTTTTTTTCAAGATTAAATTATCTCTTATAATGTGAAATAACTATCACTGTCGGTAAAGTTTTTTTAAGTTAATATATTTTTCCACATGTTTGCATACCCTCCAACTTATGAGGATTNTATTTTTTGCGTCCCAATTTTTCGATTTTATTAAAATGTTTCGATATCAAAGATTAAAAAGTCGGGAAATTTATAAACTTTCTTCAAAAATTTACGCGTCTCGTGGGACGCGTAGCGATCATTTTTTTGCGTCCGATTTCAATTTTTTGTGTATTTTACGCGCTATAGCGCGTAAATGTCTTCCATGATGCTAAAATAAATTTTTTTTAAATATTAAGACATTCATTTTGCTACCGTCTGAAAAGAAGATTTCTGAAACTATGGAAATTCTGTAGCAGTTGGAGGGTATGTGTCTGTAGCACAAGGGTTACGTCGATTGGGCTTTTTTATTTGAAATGAGCAAAACTGTAGATGAGAAAATGTAACGAGAAAAAAACTCAGTTTATGAAGAAAAGAGTCTATTCCTAGCGTTTCAATTATTTATAACACTAGTGAGCTGTTATGTATGATTAAAGTGATTATGATAAAATTATTAACACAAGATAGGTTAGTAGTTATTAATTGACTTTTGGATTGATCTTAATATTTTAAACTTACTTAACTGCCATAATGTTATACTTCCCCCCTTTTTTTAAAAATTCTCATCATTAATTATTCTTTAGGAAGCGTAACGTTTGTCATATTATCTCATCTCTGCCATACATGGGTACCAGAAAGATCTTTGAGACAGATGATTCAAGCTGGAATGATTTCTACATGGGCTGTGAGGTAAAGTTATTAAATATCTCTCTAAAGAGACCATAGGAATTTATATTTTTTTCTCTTTAAATTTATTGTTTAAATGAATGAATCTATAGTTTGTGATTCTGCTAAACTCCAGAAACTGTGTCCTTAGACCCAGGGCAGTCGAATTTGCAATTCCTTATTTAAAGCACAATGTAGGGTCATTAACCTTCATTCTGCTATTCGTAACAAAGATACGTTCATTGCTTTAAGGACAAATATATATAACAAAGGATGTGGTCCATTACCCCCCCTCTTGTTGTGATCGTTGTTGCTATACACTGTATGGTGAACATGCAGCGGAAGTAACATTAGCTATTCACTGCCTTAGCTGCATCAGACAGTGTGTCCTTTCCCCTCAAAAGATAGGCAAAAAAAAAACAGTAAAGAATTAAGGCAAAGGAAGCTTTTTAGGTTATATATAGGTGAGAAGGGGGCTAGTGTGGACAATTTTTACATTTTTGGCAAAAACATATTACTAATTACTTTTTTTAAGACTTCTAGTATTTTTTTTACATTAATTTGTACTTTTGCACATATTTTAGATGATATATTAAAACATTTGGTAGTATAGTTCTTTAATAATGTATTTTTTAAAAATGGTTGTTTTTGTCCACACTAGCCCCATGTCATGGGGCTAGTGTGGACAAGCTATGGGGCTAGTGTGGACAAATTAAAATATTGATTAAGCAATGTAATTCAATTTATAATATTGAATTTAAAAACAAAGAAATCAATTTTAACCTAAACAGAACAATCCCTAATAAATATAAACCTTAATAAAGCATATTTTTATCAATGGTAAGCCTATGATTATAATTTTTAATTGAGAATTTTTTCTTGATAAAGAAAATATTTCAGAAACAAATCAACATACTGAAAAGCTATTTTTTAAATTTTATTTATTTGAAAATGATTGTAGATTTGAAATTTTTCTTCTACTTTACAATATAATTTGACAAATCAACATTAAAAGTTATTTGTGAAGCAGTTCGAAGTGTACGACCAGCTTTGTCCGGCATTGGTAGTTGGGCTACAATTTCATGTCAGGAAATTTGTGAAACTTTTTTTACAGCAGGGAAAAAGAAAGATTCACTTAGCTTAGAAGAACTCTTTTGTCCCTCTTTTTTTCTGAGGAATTGTATATCAAAATCCTCTGATCCGTATAACGCTTCAACTCTTCCAACATAGTGAAGAACATTATTTTTTTTAGGACCAACACAAAGTTATTAATGCCTATTAGATCTGTGTCTGTAATAGGTTTTAATATGGTTTCCTCAAACTCTGATGATCGATCTTGTCTTGATACAGAGCTTTCTGAATCAGAAGAGGTAGACAGATTTTTTTTTGTCATTTTGCTCTCCTTAGAGAAAAGAATTTTTCTTTTTTTTCTTTCGCCTTTTCCTTCTTTAATAAGCTTATTTTTTTCCATTTCTTCTATCCTTCTTTTCTCAGGTGTACTTGTATACACTCTTGATTTTCCTTTCCTTAGCAAGTTTTTCTTTTTCCTTGGGGCAGCTTTAGGAAGTGGTCGTACAGATTCAGGAGTAGTTGGTTGTAGTAGCACAGTTTGACCATCTTCTAATTCATTTTCTTGTAGATCTTCATTTATCACACTATGCTCTGCAGCATTTGCATTGCTTCCCGGGTTTTCACGGTCAGTAACGTAACTGCAAAAAAAATCCTCCTCTCCAAATGCCAGTCTGTTTAATGGGAAAATGCCAGATTTTTTAAATCCTGACATTATGTTAGTTGGCGTAAAGGATCTGTAATATGCTTTGGCTGCTAATGAAGGAATATTATAGATTGATACTGTTTTACCAGGATTATTCAGCAACCAGTCATTAAATGCGACTTTGCATGCCGCTTTAAACGCACCATAAACTGCAACATCTAACGGTTGTAGCCGATGAGAGCAGTGTGGCGGAAAAGAAAGCAATATGATACCATTTTCTTTTGCATATGTAATAGCTTGAATTGAAATATGGGAATTATGGTTATCAATTAATAACAGAATTGGGTTCTCAATATCAGATTTCGTGTGTTCTTTTATATGATGCAAAACAGTTGGAAATAACTCTTTTGTCATCCATCCACTTTTCGTAGCCAAACCTAGACTTCCAGTCGGAGCATCACTTAGAAAATAGTCCTTATACTTCACTCGGGGGAAAATAAAAACAGGAGGAATGGAATTGCCAGTTGCAGATACAATGCCACAAAAAGAAACTAATTCTCCACGTTCTCCAGACACAGCTTGTCCAACTTGTTTCTTTCCAGTTTGTGCAATTACTTTAGGACTTTGCAATACTGTTGTAATTCCTGTTTCATCTGTATTGAGAATACGGTCAGGTTTGAATTTATATTTCTCCATAACAGCATAAAGATTGTCAAAAAATTCATCCACATTCTTTTTATTAAATGATGTTGCTCTGGATAGACTGGTATTTTCTGGTTTACGTAAGGAAAGTCCAGGATGCCTCTTCATAAAAGCTTGCATCCAATCAATGCCAGCACATTCCTTCACATTCCAACTGCTTGGCATTGCTTTACCAAGCTTTTCAGCATATTGAAATGCCAGTGCTCTTGCCTGTAAAAATGTCAATCCATAATGGATTTTCGAAGAAGTCAAAAAATATTCACTGANTTATTACAGGATGCAACACTTTGGTTTGCAGCCATTTTGCAAAACATTCATTCATAGGACAATAATATAAATTATATATTTCTACAACTAAAATATAAGATAAGTAAACACAATATAAATTATTGGCTTTGGTTAGTATTTATAAAATTAAGAGAGTAAAAAATATGAAATATTTACTTTTGAGGTTGATCTTAAACTTTCCAGCTTCACAAGAAAAATTCAGTAGCCATATTCCTGCACTTTCTGTTCTGATTTATGCTACACTAAAGCCATCTATTGGTGAAAAAAGAAATCTGAAGAATTGTTTAATTGCTGAGTGTCCCATTCATCCCCCATCTCCCCTACATATGGGCAATTATCTGGGAAGGTGTGATTTTGCACTTCTAATTTTTCAACTTTGCACAAAGGGTGCAGTTTGGCATTTTTTAACAAGACAATATATGTATTTTTCTAAAAATACTAAAATCCATGAAACATCTTCATTTATTTTGGCATTAATGAGGTTTAAATATGTAAATTTGTCAGAAAGTGTCATTACCATCCTATGTTGAAAATGATGTAAAAATTCCATAAATACAGTTTTTGTAAATTTGTTGAAGGTTTCTAATCGGACATTAGCAATAATCAAAAGAAAAACACCAAAATAAATCATTCTAGATTCAATTTTTTTAAAATAAAATTTTAAATGGTTAGCGTATTGTAATTTTTTTGTATTATGGAGTGCTTACTGTTTATTTTTGACAAGTAAAGTTTTTCAGCCTAATTATGTTTTCAACTGAAATTACCATTAAATCTAAGTACCTTAAAAACATATATTTAAATATTNTAATTATCCACTTAATTTATTAAGAAATAATTGAAAAATTTTTTTTATGGTCATGTCACTGTTTATATGGAATTGCCCTAATGACTGTGAAATGGGAGGAAGGATGGTACATAGTATGTACCATCCTACATACTATGTATCCTACTGCATACTATGTTTAGAATATATTTTAGCAAGTATAATAGAATTAATACAGAATGCTGGTTGTGTAAATTTAATTATTTTTATTAAATACAGATTCAAAAATTCTGTCAATATGCTTCTTTTCTGAAAAAAAGAAATGTCTACGGGAATATGAGGATCTTTAATAAGGCACAAAATCTCTTCCGTGGCTATTTGGTGCTTGTCTTCTGTAGGCCAGCAAAAATGGCTTTTTGTTTTCAAACGAGACATACAGTTTATTTCCAGGACATTTTTTTTGCACCGATTCCACAACACCTGCACATTAAAGTCTTGATCACTTTTATATATAATACATAACATTTAAAAGCAAACAATTCAAAACATACTACGACATGCTTAATAAAAAATAGTTTACATACCTGGGAACCATTGATCATCAAAAATGACAGCAACCCATTGTCCTACAGGTACTTGTGATGGGAATCTCTTAGAAACTCCATCTCTTTTTATTAGTTTTTTGGAAGGGCCCGAGATATTTGAATTCCTTCTCCCCTGGAGTCTTTCAATTGACCATAAATATGGCTCAACCAAAAAATGGGAACATGGTTCACACTTGCTTTCCTCCCATACAAGTTGGTGCAATAACATTGTATTTTTTACAGCTTTTAGCCAATTAGGTACAATGCTTTCAACTCTATGAATGTTTGCTTCTTTCACTTCTATTACTGTTACTTTAACCTTTTCTTTTCGGAAAACATTTAAAAATTGTTCCGTTGTTGTGATGTCTTCTCCATGTGCAACTGCCTGGTCAGCATAGTGTTTTATGAAACCCCCAATGCCATCTGCAGGTGATTTACCGTGACCAGCTTCACTAAAATTCCATGTTGCCTTTTTAAATCCTAATGTAATAGCAAAATGAGCAAACAGAAAAAAATTTGTCTTGTTTCTGTATTGTGTAGTGGGACCATCACTTTGAAAATGAATTATATTGACATGAGGGAAAAGTTGTTTTACTTCTTTTATCATTGTACAAATATGTGTCCATTCCGCACATTCATCATGTCGTAGGGATCCACTTATTGTCGCAAAAGAATGACGTTTTTTGTCTCATTCACTACTTTTACAGTAGAGTACAGCTGTGTGAATAGTTATTTGGCTTTTGCTTGCTCCAAAATTAGCAGATTTAATTTCTGTGTGATATTTACATTCATAATTTTCAGAAAAATCAATTATTAAAATTTCATTTTCCGCAAGATTGTTTTGCAAGTTTTTCATTGCCCTAAACTGGTGGAATACATTGTAGCAGGGCTTTAGAAATTGAGGCAAATTAGTTTGCATTTCAGCAAACATCTCATTGACTTTGCAATTAATTTTATTCTTGGATGTAATTTGAACTGTAATTTCTTTACCTTCATTGTTCACTCTTTTTTCTTTATTTGTTACCCATTTGTAGTAAAAACTTTCATCCTCTATTTTTTCATCATTTACTACAATAATGGCTTTGTCTTTGCATGTTATGCAATCACGGTACATACATTCTTTTGACATTACATCACAAACAAGTGAATATAATCAATGGTGGGTGTCTTTCACCACTGGCATTGACACTAGCCATCACTGGAACGGACTCTCTTCCTGACTTTGGAGTCAATCGAGCGATAGGTTTCCCCTTCTCGCAAACAGCTTTTCCTCTTGAGGGATCCATAAACATAGCTGTTTCATCCAATTTTTAAATATGCAATGGGGAAGAGTTCAGATCCAGATCACCAAACTCCCTTTCAAGTAAGTCATAAAACTCATACATGATAAAAGGATTTGAAGTTGCTAGCACACGTGACTTTTCCAAACTTCTGGGCTTCTTGTTACTTAGATTATGTCTTACAAGAAATGCAGACAACCACTCATCCCCAGGTTTCCACTCATCCACATTGTTTTTATATTGACAATATCTTTTCAAATAATTTGATGAGTCGGACGTACCTTCTATGGGAAATGAATTCTGCAACCACCAGTTTAATTTCAGCTCTGGACAGTGGAAAACCCCATTTTACCATACATTTTAAGCAAACAGATAGTTCATTTTCTTCCTTCTCGGTGCTCAAAGGTGCTCCTACTGATTTCTTCACAACTTTATTTTTCAAATTTTGCTAGTGGGTTTGAAGAGTAGAAAATGGAATACCTTCCTTGGCTGCTGCTCTAATACTCAAATTTTCAATTTTCAAAACTGCTTCATCAAACTTGTTCTTAAACAATTTGGCATCCTTTTTCCTTTTATAGTTTCTTGGCATTATGGTATAATATTTTTAATAATATTGAATAGAAAAACTAATAACAACTATCTAATATCACATGGAATAAATCCAGTGAAAAATGAGCATGTGAGAAATTGGTCTTAACATTAATAGAACATGAGAAACAGTTAATGTAGAAATAATGGTTACAGTTAAAGTGTAATATAAAGTTACAGTTTAAGTATAATACAATATTACAGTAAAACATAACAGTTAGAGAAATTGCATATATTATCCTGACAAAAATAAATAAAAAAAAGCAACTAAAATATCACTGACCAAGAATTACCCCAGTAAACTGGGGGATAAATCAGTATACTTCTGAAATTAATCTTAAAAATGATTAAGAAAAAATATATGTAAGTATGAAAACTTAGACTATTTGCTGTTATAAAACAGCACCAACACAATTGGTCTGGCTAACACACACACTGATATGGATCCTAAAAAAAATCATTATTTTCTTAGACCATCTTTTTTAAAGATGTTTTTATAGTAGTGTGAAAAGTATTTTTTTCTCTCTAATTTGCTGCATACTTTGATTGTTTTTGAACTTGATAGAAGAAAATAGAATATATAAGGATGAGTTAACATAATTTAGTTGTTTTGTGAAAACATTTTTTAATGCTGAAAAGTCAGTGACCATTATTTACCCCAAAAAAAGAGTGACCCCGAATTCCCCAGAACGATTATCTCAAGTCCAGCAAATCTAGCAGGCATTGCCATCAAAGAACAAGCAAGATTTGTGAAACTTTCATCTATTACATATTTTTTAAAACTGGACCACCATGTAGTAGCTAGGGAGTTGTCAAAATTTGACTGGAAAAATAAATTTCAGGAAATGGGACCGATTTGTTTTGCAAAGCTATGACATAAGGTACAAAATCTGGGTTAATATTGGCGAGTAAAATTCTGACACTTTCTTCTTGAGCACATGATGATTTCAATCCCAAATACTTTGGACGCAGCATATAAGCTAGCAAATGATAATCAGTAACTGCCTGTTTAAACCTGTATGTCACTCCTTTTTTTATAAACAGCCATAAGATTACTTAACTTAATTCATTTTTCAGTTTACTTAAACAAAATGTCATTAAACAGTAACTAAAACTAATATCGAAGTTTTTTTAGTTTCTGCCAGTTTTTACCGGTTGTAACCAACCGGCCAAAAGCCAACCCTGGCTATTATGTTTGCTCTTTAGAGTATAAGGGCTTTAATTTAAGTTTTTTAAAAGTTTCACTAGCTCATTGTATATATACAATCCTCTGATTATGACAAGAGAATAGATGTTCAAACTTTGGAAGGTAATTAAGACAAATTTTCAAACAATTAAGTCACTGTTACTGGAAGAATTCTCTGAAGAAATTTCTATAAACATTTTATTCTGGTGATTTTTCATTTTTATATGAAATAATAACCTTTTATGGCAAATTAATTTTCTTAAAATTTTTTTTCATTTTGTTATTAGATGATTGATAAAATTTGATATTACCGTAACATATTAGTTATAATTTATTTAACTGTTTAAGTTGCACATCTAAAGCCACATTAAAAGATTTAAAAAAATTTCCCATGTCTTGCTTTAGATTTGTTTTAAAAGAAATAAAATTTATTTGACCAATTTCCATTATTTCCTAAATTTTTAAAGTTAATAACCACTTGAATATATTCTTTTTTATGTTATTGCAGGTTGGGTACTTTTCTTTTTATTAGAGTACTGAAGAGTGGGAAAGATCGTCGATTTGATAAAGTGAGAGAAAATCCACTTCGATTTTTCGTTCTTTGGACAATGCAAGGTGATATGTCAATTATATTTTAGTTCTTCTACTTGTTTAAAATGGGTTTTGTTGCTCTCAAAAAATATTTTCAGCTTCATAATTTATTGAAAAAAGGATATGCATAAATTAAAAAATGTTAATAAATTTTTACTCATTTTCATTGTTTTTTTTTCAAACTAAGTTTTATGCAGAAATTACTAAAAAAATCTGTTCATTGTATAATTGCTTGTTTTAACTCCTTATATTTGTTTATTGCCTTAATTTATAGTACATCATATTGTAACCAACTTATTAATTATGCAAAGTAAACATCTTAAAATTCTTAATTGAATATTCAACAGAAAAAACATTTTCATGTTATTTCTATTTTGTACATTTTACGTTAATTAGATTGGTTGAATTTTTTATGCTTTTATTCATGTCATAGTTGACGTCTTCTTTGGTCACATGCAAAAGGTGTCCTATGCAAGATAATCTGTAATGGTCATCCAAAGCAGAACTCACTTTAATTCTATTTTTAGTTACAATATGTCTTAATTACCAGCATCTATTTCCCTCCTCCCTCTCCTCCTTATAACCAGTGTTGAACAGCTGACCCAATTCTGAGTATACTGCTATCGATGTAGTTTAACTCTGTAGCTTTGTATTCTTGAACCCCTCTCAAAAGACGAGAGAACTCCTAGATAAAGCATTGGGACAGACTAGCCTTTGTGGAGGTCATTTTGATGGAACTAACCTGCATTTGCATTACATGTTAGGAAAACTAACACGGTTTGAATGACGGCAAAAGGATTCTAATCCATGATCCGTCTGCCACTAAAGATATTTTAATTCAGTATCAACCAACCTCCGCTGTGATTCGAACCTTGGTTACTTTATTGGTAGGAGACTGCTCTATCCTCTGAGGCACCAGCTTCTTAAGTTATTGGTAATATTAAAACAATTGTTATAAATGTCTTTAATTCAGGATGTATAAGAGGAAGATTATTGTCATTCTATCTACAAATATATTTATGAAAGCATGTCATCTCAATTCTAACGCCTGTACAAAAAAAGGAACACAATATTCAGAAAAAATTACATAACCGATTTTGAAAAAAAAAAATTATTTTTGAGTAATGTTTTCATTTTTGTTAAAATTTTAAAGGGCTAAAACCAAAATTTAATGTGGGTTTTTTTATCATCAGTATATACGAGAAAGTCAAGCGTTTCCACAATTTTCCCATCCAATCATCAAGATTTCTTTCATGTGCTATGATTGTTTCAGAAAATATCTCTAATGATTTAGTGCTAGCAGAAATCTGCAATTCCAACCCCATTGTTACAGATCTCAAGAAATATCATCCGAAATCAGTATTTAAAGAAGTTTTAAAACCCCTTCTTTGTTAAATTAAGCTATTGTTATTGTCAGATTCCCCCCCCCCCTGAATGCTGGCCATGCACTCCAGCTGTTTATGGACAGCTGTGTAACTTGTATATGCACCATTTTTTGTTTTCTTGAATGATTTTTAAATAAGCATTATAGCAAGGTCTGTGTGTGTCAATTTTTTTAAATTAAAAAATTAAGGCACATCATCACTGCAGGGGTGAAAGTTTCAAAAATTGTCAAGACTGAAAATTTCAAAATCAGAAGTGGGCGTGTCCCGCCCAATATTTTTTAAGAAAACAAAAAATTATATATGAATTCTTTTCATAAAAATTGTGAACAAACTTTTTAATAAAAATTAAAATACACAAAATGCAAATAAGGCTTATAAAAATTCCATATTTATTTTAGCAAACCTACAGTTCAGGGGTATAAACAAAAAATGCAAAGTAATTGGTTATTGCAAGCAAAAATTACCCCAGCTTTTAATTTTTTTCAAACATTTAATTTTCTAAGAAAATAAAGTGGAAAGAAGGAAAAAATAATTTCGGAATAATTTCATTTTAAGGAAAAGAATAATACTTAGCTAAGTTAATACTTTGTTAATAAATAACAAAATGTTAATACAGTAGACGGCGCTTAATGTGATCACATCGGGACGAACATGATTTGATAACAATAACCGATTGGTTACAATACAGTAAACGTAAAAAAATTTAAACTAAAAAATTATTTTTTTACATATGTATTAAAATAAAAAAATTTTTAAATTAGGAGTTGTTGCTGTAAAACTCTACAGTATTTAATAGAAATTAATGTACACTAAAGAAAAAGAATTAGTTAGTATACTTACATATTTAATGATGAACTGCAGAAAACAATACAAAAGGCTAATTATTAACTGAAAAAGAAATCATCAATTGTCGATTGTTTAGCATTCTTTCAAAGCAAGTCATTTACGAATCGCTCATAATCATAATGTTTATGAACGTGTTCCGCTTCGGCTTTGTTTTGCACACCTAGCCGTAAGATTCGAAGTGCCTCTTTCATCTGAGCAGGCGTCAGAATTTTGTCCTCGATAGCAATAAAAACATATATTTGCAATAAAAACATATATTTTGCACTATTATTGAACAACACATTGACAATTCTATTTTTCCTTTCTTTATTCACTGTTGATAATTTTTGGAGGCTTAAAATTTTTTGAATACTAAAAATCTCTTTTATTTCATCAACAGAAAGATTGAGACGTGAAAAAATTTCTTTCAAGGCTTCAACATTTTTTTCCTTATCACTTAAAAAACTAAAATAAAAAACTTTCAAAGCATCAGTAAGTTTATACAGTCGTTCACAAACATAAAAAATTTGTATAAATCTATTATCAATGGGCTTTATAATCTGAAGACCATTTTGATATTTCAATAGATCTTGAATTTCAGAAAATAAACTTTTATCTTTAGGGGAATCTTGTATATCATAATGTATATCACTTGCTACTCCTTCCAAATAATTTTCAAAATGAGAAAAAAGCTTTTTAGCTACATTATTTATAATATGCACAGTGTCACCATGAATGTCCAATAAATTTGGATTAGCAGCTCTAATTAAAGTTTCAACACCAGCTTTACAGCCACATATTGTATTACAGTTGTCTAACAGCACAATGACAACTTGATTTATCTGTAGCCCATTATCTAATAAAAGTTTACTTACCTTGCTGAATATGTTCTTTGATGTGCTTAAATTTTCTTTACCAGTTTTTGCTCCTCATCATAAAATCGAACAAATACATTGATTACTTTATCCATAGCATTGCTAGTTCCTTCATCAACGTTTAAAGAAAATAATTTTCCTTTCAAGTTATCAACAAGTTCCTCTCTTAAACATTTAGCTGTACCGTGAGTTGTAACGTACGTAGCATGAGTATGCGAAAACTTGAAAGGGCACTTTTATCTGTAGCCAAAAATTTTGCCAAATTTACAATATCTGGAGCAATAGAGAAAGGAAGCATTTTCTCACATAGAAATGCAGTGACAACAGCTTTCTGGTCTGCAACAGGATCCAATATTAAAGGTTTAGCTAATACTGACTCAACAGCTAGCAAAGTATGAACATATTTTTGAGCCCGTACCAATTTCTGATGCTCAATATCTTTAAAATGATGAAAAAGAACTTTCTTTCCGTTGTTGGTCTAATTAATTTTTTTATTGCATAGAGAACAAAAGCAATAACCTGGCTGTTCAATTTTTTTACACCAATTTATTTTATTATTTTGCGCATCACTCTCTTCTAACCACGCAAATCTCCACTTTTTATTCCTACATCGTTAACTTTTAAAGCATCATTGTCATCCATAAATTCCATTACAGCATTTAATAACTCACACTGTAACTAGTAGACACATGAGATAGAAAAATAATCCCACAAAGTTTGCAAGTCGCCATTTCACTTTACTTCTCTTCTAACCAATACCAATTTTTTTTCCTAAAAAAATTAAAATAAAAATGGAAATTTATTCGCGCAAGCATAGAACTTACTGATCGACCTTAAACAAGAAGGTGAAGTCACATGTTGCAGTGACGTTTTAACCTACACACCTTCGCGCATTAGAGAAAACCGGTTCTCTCCTCTGACGTTAACCTACATACGAAACCGGGGGAAAGAAAGAAAGAATGAATCGGTCGTTTGGGACTTTTCCCACTGAATCCGTCAAAAGACGGAAATTAGTCAAAATACGGAAAACTTTTATCACTGTGTGCACAACCTTAAAAGTTTTTGATTTTTCACTCTTTGCTGAATCATTTAAATTAATACAATTGGCATCTGTTTCAGTTGCTATTGCTTCTAGAATGAGCTAATGACTTTTTATGCCCTCTTAGTATTTCGAAATGGATGCTTATGCATCTTCTTTCCACCCATGAAAAACCAGTTTTTATTGTATTTCATGCATAGTTAGCACTATAAAATTTCTCTGCCATTTGTTCTGCTATGCATCAGCTATTTAAATTTTTGTAACCAAATATGGTTACATTTTTTATGATGTGTTTGTTGTCTCAAAGTGGGGTTTCACATCATTTTTTTGTTGTTGCAATCTATTGAAGAAATGCTACATCTAGCATTGCATTTGCTTTGTTAAGTGTACTGCATAAATCTAATAAAATTAATACAGTTCATTAAAAACTTCCACACTTGTATAACGTAATTTGCAAAGCAAAAGTTCAAATAATTATGTTAAATTTAAATTATATTATATTTTTGAAATTGGTTTTAATGCAATATAACAAAATAAGAGGGGGGAAAATCTCCATAGTTAACAGTTATGCATAATCCTCTTAACTCCAAATGGAATGCATCGTCAATCAAAACTTTAATCGCTCTCTGACATAAACAAACTAACAGGCAAAAACTAAAATTTTAAAAACTACATCCTTTGAGTGAATTAAAAATAGAAGACTGGTTTCTTTTCTTATTTGTTCCAAATATTCATATCTGAAAGAGGAAGGCAAGGGACCTAGGGTGAGCATGGATTTGTTCTGCAACTGGTCGAAAGTCTCCCCCTCCCCCCATTTGTATTGTCCATTCTTTTGAGCAAATCTGGACTTAAATTTAGTAGGCCAAATATTAAAAAATCAATAACATTGCTGCATTTTTCAGTGAAAAACAGTTGTTTGTTTATGGATAATAGTATGATCTATCACCAACTCAAACTCATTTAAAATCCCACATAGTTTAAATCAGCCAATGGGGTTTTTCACAATTGCCACCCAAACTACCGAAACAAAGTTAGTCACATCTTGTTGACATTTTTTAATCTCATTTTATTTATTCATGATCATTTTTGCTAATATTTAGAAATTTCTTTTTCAGGTGTTTGGGTTTTTATTACTCTTTTACCTTCAATTTTGCTTTTAAGTCGGCCAGATTTTGTACCATTATCACATAGAGATTACTTTGGATTTGCATTATGGATGCTTGGATTTGGGATAGAAGTCACTGCAGACTTTCAGAAATCAGTATTTTGCAATATACCAGAAAATAAAGTATGTTCTTTAAAACATTTTACATAAAATAATTCTAATTATTTGAAAAAAAAGTTTTTGTATATTAAATAGAAAGAACTAAGTAGAAAGGAACTAAAGTTTCAATTTTTCAATAACAATTTGTACAATACTTATATATGTGTTGCGAATTTCTAAAGAAAAATCAGCCTAATTTTTTTTTTTCATTTGAAGAGGTAAGAAAATATCAAATTAAGAGATGGGATAACTTGTGCCAAAATGTGAAGTTATGCAAAATTCTAAATGAAGTGATCTTACATTATTTTAGAAAATTTGAAACTGATTTTTTTCCCCAATTTTGTCACCATTTTTTGTAAATGTTTTTCATGGCCAACCTTTTTTGATGCAATTTTATTAGCACTTTTTATATCACATACCAAAAAAGGAATATTTCAATCTTATTAAGTTAAAAGTTTACTTGTATTACAGCCATTTTTTTTAACAATCTCGAGTATACATTTCTAAATAAAAATATGACTGATCTATATCAAATCTAATACCCCAGGCAACAGTTTTGTTACGGTTCTCTATGAAAATAGCCTAACATCTTGTACATGAGCATTTAAACTTTTCTCTGACAAAAATATAAAAAGCTTAACTACATCTCTCCAATACCCATTGAACCCAGAAACTATTACAGTAACATTTATACATCATTCCGGTATTAATTTCAATTATAAGTTTCCAGATTCTCAGGGTTGGATCACTTGGAATGGTATTAACCTATTAAAGCCAGTCTGTCTGAAGTGTCTCAACTGGTTAAGACCACCTAAAAGTGCCGGTTTTCTGCCCAAATTAACTTTTTCTCGCACTTCAACAAATCATTGTACTAAATAATTTTTTTTTTCCCCGATTTTGTCCACACATTCGATATTCATTAACAAATCTTTGTTTTATCAAGACTTATTATTACTGAGGAATTTTGCCATGCCATTTTTAATTTTTCAATGTATGCCTTTGAAATTGAGATTTGCTATGATTTCTCAATATTTGCTGAAGGCTTTACAGCATCTTCTGTCAAACCTAGCAAGAGTTTTTAGTTGTGAATGTTGGCAAAATTCTTCACTGATTAAAATAAACGATTTAAAAAAAGTGCCTTCTAGCAAAAAATTTCTTTAACAGATTATTATCACTTCTTTATTTTGTTATATGTACTGGTTATGAAACACAGAATTTTAAATTTTTTTTTTTCAGGGGAAGTTTATAAACACTGGACTTTGGTCTATTTCTCGACATCCTAATTATCTAGGAGAAATCTTACTTTGGTTTGGACTCTACTTTTCGGCCAGTACTACTTTCAGAGGAAAGGAAATGTTATGTGTTCTTTGCCCTATATTTGATATGGTTCTCATTACTCGAATCAGTGGTATACCTTTGTTAGAAAAATATGGCATGCAGAAATGGGGTAAAGATCCTGCTTATGTTGAATATGTTAAAAATACTGCTCTAATCATTCCACTGTTGTGGTGAAGCTTCTTGATTAAAAGAATACAGAAAGTTTTAAATGTTGTATAAAATTAAAGATTATTTTGTTCTGAAATATAAATCTGTTTCAGATAATGCAATAGAAAATTTTTTGCATATTTGGAGTTGCAGAAAATTGTTTTTTGTTTTGTACATAGTTGCCAACTTTTCTATTTCATACTGTTGTTATAATCATGTTAATCAACGTTAGTATTGGAAAATTATGACTCATTGGGAGTTGAAGGGGAAGAGATTGTTTTGTACACATTTGACATTTCTTCTATTTCGGTCATATAAAATTTATCTAAATATTAGCAAGATTTATGCAGTAATATTTATTTCTTGATTTAATAAATTCAATTTGCAATTATTTTAACTACCACAGCATGTATTCAAACCTATGCATAAAGTCATTTAATCTAAAATGTTTTAAAATTCTAGGTAGAATTAAAAAAAAAAACTAGTTACTTTACTAAGACTACGTATTTTACAAAAGTGTTACTGGAAAGCAAAGCAAGTTGGCAACTATGTTTATCAAACAGTTGTCTTTTCCATTTGATTTTTATTATTTTGTATTATTATTAAGGGCATACTGTGAAACATTGATAAGCCATAATTGCTAAGAATGACATACGACGAGTAAATGTCTTTCAAATATTAAAAGGAGTGTGTAAAATATCATATTGCTACCTGAATCAGATATCAATAACTCCTTTGAATTTTAGTCATCTTCCTTCTTTTTTTTTGTTTTCCTTTTTTTTCTTCCTAATTAGTTCGCATCATGCAGAATAGCCATCAATGGTGTTTATGCCAATAACTTTAAACTAAGTAGTTTTTTTTTTTCCACAGCTATTTTGTAATAACATTAAATCTTATGAAGTGTCTACATTTGTCTTTTCTTAGTATAACTGCTACAGAATTTTCTATATAGAAAATAAACTAGGTCAATATTTATACCTTTGATTTTTGGAAAGATCTTTTATTTTCAAATTTTTAAAAAGTGTTCCTTTAATACTTTTTCAATGCTAAATTAAATGTACAGTCAAACCTCGTTAATTCGACACTCTCGGGACCTCTGAAAAGTGAAGGGAGTGACGAATGAACCGGAGTTGCATTGTTTTTCAAAAAATTGAGAAAATATCCATCAATTAACAATTATTACATGCAGTAGCGAAATTTCAATTTTTTAAAATAAAAAAAAAAGGTTAAAGAATTTGCATTAAGACAATTCAATTAAAACATAGCATGAGTAGAAAAACAAACAGTATGGCTTGTCTTAAGTATGTAAATACTTACTTTTATTTATTTAGGAATGAAAAAACCATCAATACGGATTTGTTTGGTATGGGGATTACTTAACATAATTCTTTTTTTGAGTTTGTACACAGAGTTCAAATCTTCCTCCGTGACAGATATTGAAGAAAAATATTTTCTTAGAACTTTAATGCACTGCAGAGCTTAATTTTTGGAAGATTTCCGAGGCGGTTAGTTCTGGAGATGTCACGAGATTTTGGTCAATTCCAAGGTATGTTTCTTCATCTATCACATCTTTGTTGCGTTCTTTAAGTTGCCTGAGCAATTCAGATAAAGGGACTTCATCATCATTAATATCTTCTGACGAGCTTGGACTTTCAACAAATCCAGCATGCCTTAAGCAGTTTTTGATGATTTTATCGGTCACATCAGCCCAACTCCTGTGGATGTAATTTATGCCATCTAAGAGATTTAGTTTCCATTCTCTGCCTTCATCAATGGCTTTAATCCAGTCTCTTACAAGATGTTTCCGATAGTGTCTCTTGAAGCTGGAAAGAAATGATTCCTTGATCAAGGGGCTGTAAAACTGAAGTGGCATTGGGCGGCATGTAAACTAACTCCACTGATTAAAGGTTTCTTACCTCAGTATGCGCTGTGCAATTGTCCACAACAAACGCCACTTTACGACTTGTTGCATGGAATTTCTTCTCAAACTCTTTCAGAGTTTTTTCCCAAACATTGGAGGTCATCCAAGATTTTGAGTTTGCTTCCAATGACACACTCAAAGACTTCACATTTTTGAAGCACCTTGGTTTTGGACTTTTGCCTATGACCAGAGGCTTAAGTTTCTCGGAACCATCCGTGTTTGCTCCTAACAGAACGGTAACTCATTGTTTGATTTTCTTCCCATCTGAGCAGTCCTCTGATTGAAAAGTCAAAGTCTTGTCAGGCACAAGTCGAAAAAAGAGACCTGTCTCATCAAGGTTGAATACATCACAAGGGTTATAACGCTGGAGAACATCTTTTAAGAGTCCATTTTTCCATTCTTCAACTGGACGCATATCAACGGCCTCTGCTTCTCCACACATCTTTTTGAGGGAAAGTCCATGTCTCTCTTTTTGAACCTTTCAAACCAGCCGTTGCTCGCCGAGAACTCCGAGACACCCAGTTCGTTTTCAAATTGCAAAGCTTTGTCTTACAAGATAAGTCCTAAAATTGGAATGTTTTGGGCTTGGGCCATTCTAAGCCATTTAACAAGGGCATTTTCAACGTCTTCGAAGGTCTAAACACGCATTCTCTTCTTGCCATCCTGAACAGGCAAAGAACTTTCAATTTTATCCTTTAAGGACCAAATGGCAATGAACGTTGTGTGGGGGACTCCTTTCCGTTTCGCAAAAGCAGCCTTAGACATTTCAGATTGCTCAAATTCTCTTATCATTTGGAGCTTTTCATCCAATGACCAAGATTTTTATCCAAGTTTACTCGCCATGGCACTGAACTAGAGACTCGAGACACCACCGCACCCCTACGCTGTACTAAGTTTTGCAGGAGACTGAAAAAGCGATTCCAAGGTGCTCATTTTCTGCCACCTCTTCCCGTCCCCACCATTACCCCCTCGTAAGGCCAGAGATAAGGAGCATTATTGCAACTCTTTCTGCAAGAGGTGGTAGAAGGAGGGGTGAGATGACAAAAGGACAGGGGAAAAACGCTTCCAGTGTCCGAATTCCAAGAACCAGTTGCCTAGTGCGAATGGCAAAATTAGCCAAGTGGAAATTTCCGCAAAAGTTGACTGGAGAAAAGCAATTTCCCACATTCTTTAAAGTGTAATTTTATCCGGAGTTCATAATTTCCCCATGACGTAGTAAACGGAGTTTGTTAACACTGAATATAATGCAAATCTATCGGGACTTGAAAAAAAACGCCGAAATAACCGGAGTGACGAATTAAGCAAGTGTCAAATTATCAAGGTCTGACTGTAATTGAATTTGTGGCAAACCTGAAGTATAACTTATTTGTGCAAGTTGAAATTTTTAACTTTAATATTTGCTCTTTTAAGGAGCCTGATAAGGGAATGTGTTTTATTAGGTCTAACTATGAATAAATGTTATATATTGAGTTTTGCTGTTATTTTGAAGTTCATATCCTAGAGAAATTTAAAGGGAAAAAAAATTACCTCTAGAAAAAATAGAACCCATTTAATTTTTTTGAAAAATGTGGTTTTGCTGTTTAAACAATTTTTAGACTGATCAGAAATAAATTATGGTTTTTCATTGTTCACAACAATAAGCCCTTCAAACAATTCAATTATTATTAAATTTTTTTTTGTGATATACTTTTTTTTTGTATTATGCAAGGTAGTATTTTTTTTGTTGCTATTTTTGAATATGTTTAAAGATTGTCAGATGATCTAAGGAATAAATTTGAAGAAGTTGTAACCCTTAAAAGAGACCAGAAAATATGACATTTGATTAATCAGAAGATGGAGCTAAAATTATTTCATCATTAGCTGTGAGCTTTTTATGTTGTAACTTGTATTGTAGAAATATTCAAACTGATCTCAATAATGAATCGTATAGATTTTCGAGAATCTACATCAAAAAAGTTGACGAATTTGATGTTTGTGACATATCAAACTTTTACAATATTATCTTTAGCGATGTGTTCTGCTCTATGATTCTTATTGTTGCTTGTTTCTATTGTATTGTAACCTTATTTCTTTTTCCCAAATTATTTATTTCATCAATATTTAATAATTATACTCTATTGAGTAATTATTCTATGTTGAAATTATAAGATAAATGTAGCTTAAATGTTACTTTAGAAAGAAATAACTAAAGATAACCACTATTTATATCAATGAAATATGTTTTTTCCCTATACCTGAGAAAAGTTTAGTGATAAAAAAATTTTGACATCCTAGTACAAGCTTGGTGAAAATATTACTAGCTTGATGAAAATATTGCTCATCGTAAAATACTTGTCTTGAAGAGTAAAAATAGAACAAAAGTGGATATAGTTCTTCTCGAGGAGTTGATGAAAGAGGAGCTGCATAAGTGATTTCATGAAATGTCTTGTTTTGACAAAAGTCTAAAATTGGCAGGGGCCCAGGTGTGTTGAGAGTGTAAGTTAGAGGTTTTTCGGGATTCTCCCGTTGCCTGAGTCGCAGAACAATTCTTAATTGCACAGCTGATATTTTGCTTTATTTCACTACAGGCAATAGAATATGGGTAGGGTGGCTAAAACAATGACTATCCTGCCTTAATTAGCAGTCAAATATTCATTGTTAGAAATATTGCACTGGCAATAGAGCCGATTGGAGTATCCCAAAATTTGGATTGTGCCTGAGAGTTAACAAGGTAGGCAGCCTTGTTATGAATCCTAATGGTTGCATCAATATTACTTACTAGAGAACTGGTATCGAAATAAATCTCAAAGAATGCTTTGCTGTTGAAGCCTCAGCTACAATCTCCACTATCAGACTGTAAGCTATCAATGCAATTATCAAGCCAATCATTTGGATTAAGGTGTGGATGAACTCGAGGGTGTATGCCTTAAGAACTGCTGGGATATTATCAGATTTCAGTCATTTGTACCAATTGAGAATTAATAAATTAGAGGCAGTCTGGGAAGAAATGAGAATATGAGTCCATAATTAACATCATAGGCTTGTATGGGAAGCACATATGCGCCCTTAGGCCACAGAGGTGATTTTCGCTGGACACTCATATGTCCATAGCAGTAAAGGATTAAAAAAAACTGTTTAAATTAAATAATAATTTGATTATTCATTTACTATAAAATTTCAATATCTTTTGTCCTTAGTATAACTGAAAGTTTAGTTTTGTAAAAAGATTAATGTTCTTTTAGTCGGCTACAGAAAGTAATCGAAGGAACTTTTATCTGTCTGTCTTAAATATAATAACATTAAACCTGTATGTAATCCACAATCTTTTTAATGAAGAAATTTAAAGGAATTGGATTTTAAATAAGTAGACCTACAGTTTCTGTGTTGTTTATGAATGTGCATATTTTTAGTTAATTCTATTTAAATATTTGTTTTATATTTGAATCATGAGTTTAATGATGTTTAATTTTCAAGTAATGTGAAATTAGCTTTTATTTTGCAGAGTTTATTCTAATTTTTTCTCTAAATTTTAAAATACATTATTGTGTATGTGAGTTAGTTTTCTTTGAGTACAATTGTGTATATTATTAAATACAAGTATATATCTAGTCAGATACACATGCAAGAAGTAATGTATGTACGTTAATTTGTTTGAAGGATTTTTTGCAGAAGTTAATTTTTGAGTTATAAGTGATGACAATGATTAATAAAATAAATTTTGTATAATAGAATGGAAATTAAATGTAATTTTTGTTACTTTTCATAAATAGACTTAGATTTATCTGTCTTTTATTTCTGCATCTTTATGTGTGTTTTTAATTTCTCAATTCATTTTCAAGCATGTATGGAAGATTTTATAAATTTATTTATGAGTACCTGTGGGTAAAAGCCAAATTAAGAGTCCTAATAAAATTGATATTTTAAAGTTTTCTCTTTGTTTTCCTTCTCAAGTTTTTTTTTTTAATTTCATTGACAATAATTAAATTAAGAATAAATATGTAGTATGTACTGAATCATTTAATTTGTTTTAAAACTACTGCTTGGTTCAGCATATCATTTTTTAGATCCTATGTCATTGATTCCCTCCTTCAATTCACTAAAACAATTTTTTCCTCAGGGGGTTTGCCATCTTTAGGTAAACACGGGTCTCACGAACCCGAGGTGCCCCAGTGATCTTCTTTTTGCATCAAACATAAAGTTTATAATAACCTTTGAGTAGCATACATCTTTTTCTTGTTTTTTTTTTCTAGCATTACCAAAATGATGAAAGTTGTTTTCTCAACACAAGACTTATTCAATTCTGATGTGCTAAATATTTTTTTCCATGGCAAAATTTTCAATTTTAATAATTACCTTGCAATAAAAAGAAAACATACAATGAACAATACTTGGCAGATAGTATCGCCAAACGATAAATTTCTTGATCTTTAAATTAAAAAGGCTGTTTCTTTAAAATGCTTGCGTAATAAATTTTTATGTTTTCAATAATAACTTATCAATACTAGAGTGCCTTCAGTGAACAGGAGTGGGGTGAATCGAGGTCAAAAGCAAAACTGCGCAAGCGCATAATAGGATCGGGTTACCAGAAAATAGGTATTAAATCATGGGCTTCCATGTTTGGCAGTGTAGTTCTCGAATTAGTTTGTTTGTTAGGGAATGGGATGGAAAATGTTTTTTTCTTTTCCTAATAGATCATTTCATTAAAACAACGTAATATCTTTACAGTTTTTAACTGGCAATTGATTGACTTTTAAAAAATTGCTTAAAAAATTGTTTTCTACGTTGAAATTAATATTTCAACAAAATTCTATCCTGAAATATTAATATCATAAATTTATAATTTTATTTTTCAGTAATTAAACAAAAAAAAAAATAATTTTTTTGAGAAATATATTTAAAGCTTGTTTTTTACTTAAAAATACAATATATTCATATAAATGAATAAATAGACATAGAATTATTGTTTTAGTATAAATTAATTTATTTTGTTGTGCATGGGCAAGTAGTTTAAAATTTTAATATTAAGAGAGTATGTAATTTAACAAATAATTATTTCTTTTCTCGAGGAGAACATAAATTGCCCTCATTTATAACAGTGAATTTTAAGTATATGATATTAAGAATGTTCATTCTATTTTGAATTGTCAAAGATACATTTTGAAAAAGGATTTTAAACATTATATGGATATTTACTATTGTAAAAATTTAAATTCATACCATACTTTTTTTGAAAATGAAACAAAAATCTATAAAAATTAAATAATTATTTATTTTTAATTGAAAATTACAAAACTTTAATTTTATGTACACAATATTTGTCAAGACTGTTAGTTAATAATATTTTTACAAGCACATATGTATATAAAATTTAAAACAATTCATAAAAATGCTTTATATCTGCAACAACAAAATTTAAAGTTTGTTAATTGTTTTAATGATAGATAATAGGAAAAAATAAGTTAAAGAAATCTCATTCTTAGGATGTATACATTTATTCTTTTGTTTGGAATAAAATAATAAAACGGAAATAAAGAAAACAAATTTCCCAATCATGAATTGATATCACTTGAAAATTAAAATTTTATTGTGATGATAATATATGTAGCAGTCTCTCGGAAACCTGCACAGCTCAGGACAAAAGACAATGAGCAAATTTATTCAAATCCATTGCGATAATTTTCTATTTTTAACATAATAGAACTATAGTACTAAATATTCAATACATTAATAAATTTGTTTCTTTCTGTCAGAGCATTTAAGTAATGAATGTAAAAGAATAAGAACAGTTGCTAATGTTTAAATACACAAAACTAGGTTTAAAGAATTTTTTTAAAAATTCAAAAATTATTTTTTTTAACATGAATATTTTTTACAACTTAAACCAAAAGTTTAGCTTTAAGCAAAGCAGTTTTAAGAGTATGTTATGTATCAGGGAGTTAATTGCATATATGCGTGAACCCACTGGAAACAGGTAGCTTAATTAAAGTCAGACATATTTGCATTAAAAAACCATTGCATTAAATTTTTTTTATCCTAGATACTATGTAGCCAGCAATGTTGTAGAGGCAACACTAAGAATGGTTTTGGCTCCCTTGTTCCAATCTTTTGGAAGAATTATTTTATTTGGGGACTTTGATTTGTTTTGGAATATTTCTATAATTCCAGGCAAAAATTCTCCTTCATCAATATCATAGCTACCCCCACATTTTTTAAAAAACTTTGCATTGCAACACAAATTAATTTTAAATGGTTTCTAAATTGTAATGCTGTTGGAATTACTTGTTTAGATCTGATTAAACTAAAAAAAAATTTCATCATAATCTTGACTAAATCTGGATGTTAATATGAATTTAAACTTTTTCTCACCAAGTAAAAAACTTTGTAGTTGCAGCATAGATGTAGTGGTGATAATGATGCCTGTTTGAATAGGTTTCCACATAATTTTATTTTTGAATTTTTAAGTTTTGGAAAAGTGCTATTTCAGCAAAAAAGGCTATTGTTTTAAAGTATTGAACATTATCAAATTTACTGATGGCCATTATTGGATGCCTGGAAGTCATAAGTGAAAACCATTTATGAATAAGTTGAATAAACCAGGCTGTAGCTTTCAAACAGGGATCATTTTCCTCACTAGCAAAAAAGTTGAGGGCTGCATTAACATCCTAACTAAAAACATTACCTGCTTTTGACACTTTCATTTTATCAAAATGCTTATTGTCCAGATGGGCAAATGTTAATTTTGGAGTTAAAGAAAGCTCCATATCTTTCTGATAGTTAAGATTTTTTTTTAAGTGAACTGCTTCAACTTTATTAGACGAGGTTATATTTACTTAAATAATAAATGTTTTGTTCTCCCAGATTTTATTTTAAGAGTGATGACTTGACATTTTTAAGGAGATGAGGAACATCTGGTATAAATGTAATGATTTGTGAGGAATCGTGTGGGTTTTGCAGCTAGTATTTTTTCCACACGATATGGCATATTTTGACCACATTGATCTGTTTCCAGATCCCATATCTGAAGTTATATTAACAATTTGCAAACCTACTTCGTGACATTTTTTTATTATACCATCAATTAGTTGCCTTAGCTCACTCCCACAAGATGAACCATTAGTAAAATAATAGCCTACAACCTGTTTCCAGCGAGTACCAACACCACCCAAAATGAAAACAAGAGCATGATTTGCCCTTCCAGTTTGAGAAGGAAAAGTAACATCACCGAAGTATGTTCCTGTTAAGGCATCAAATTCTGTACTTTCGGTGATAAACATTTCATTAAGTGCAAGATTGCATATTTTATCCTGGGAGGAGTGAAAATTCACGACCTTAATTTTCAACAAATCAAAAACTTCCTCATAGATTCCGGGGCAGAATTTTAAATTTTGCAACCTTCTGTGCAAAGTCCTTATTGAAGGAAAAGGCAAATTTAGAGACAATATGTGGTTGTATCCACTTGTACCACAAGAAAATTTTAGCCCAAGGGCTACTTCGATGATTTTATTTGACCATCTTAATCCGCCCATGGATTTCTTTTTTAAAGCAACCAATTGATCATCATTAAAGATGGCATTAGAAACTTTACTTTTGAGGTCTCTTTTGTCGACTCGTTTTTGTTCATAGACCGCTTGTGACTTTTTCCTTAATATTATTTGCAAGTTAGTGTTTAGTCGCTTTAGTGTAGCAACACCTTTTTTTAGCTGTTCTTGAGGGCACAAACAACTTCAACATCACTCTCCCTCTCCAAGCAACTCCCTCTTTTTACAACTCTTTCTTGAGCGTATGAAAAGATAGTAGGGATAGCAGTTTTCTTCAATTTTTTTGCATCAAAATCAGACCATTGATCAGCATCAAAGTGCACCGGTTAAAAAATAATTAAAAATTTAAACGATAAAATAAAATATACTGAATATTGTCGCCTCATATTTTCTGTTTTAGATTTGGAAGAATTTATTTTCTTTTTATTAACTAAACCTGATAAACATGGTTTTAAAATTCTCATAATAATTATTATTATAACAATTTTAAGCACTATAAAGATTTCTTATAGCTAGCCAGTAAAATTAAAATAGTAATAGCAAATTCAAAACATTTTAGAAAATACATATTACATTGCAAGAAGAAAAAAAAATTTAGGAGACATCTCCAGAGAAATAGATGTCACATATTTTAAGGATGCACATTTTAACGTTAATAAAATAGTAAAAAGATTAAAAACCGGTGCACACGTAACTTTATATTCTTCAATAAAAGAAACGAAGGAAATAAAAATATGACCACCGAAGCCGACGTCTTCAGGGGGTACCGGCCTCGGTAGCCATTAAAAACAAAACCATTTCTAATTGAGGGAGAAGCAAATGCTTAAAATATCTCCCTCAGTACCCCGATGGTTTTGTATAGAGGTCCAGGAAGAACAAGATACATTCAAAATAATTAAGAAAAGAAACTCAATCAAAATCATCAGAAAAATAAAAACTCACTACGTCACAGGTCAAGCATCAACCTCAAAAGCAAGTAGAAGAAAAGAAAACACAAAAAACAACGCCCCCTATTATAATGCCCCTTCTGCGCATTATAATAGGAGGCGTTGTTTTTTCAGTTTCATTTTGAAAATTTTTCTTCATAATTAGAACTAACCAATTTTTGTACAACAATGTAAGAGTGAAGCACTGCATTTATCACAAACTCTGTCGGATACAATAACCCACCTCGATCACAAATTTTGATGAGGTTGAATTCAGTTACACAATCCATTTCTTTATCTCGAACCAAAAGATCCCTGTACATAGTACAAGTAGTATGCTTTAGTGCTGCTTGAGCACAATAGCCCGCTAAATATACTATGACAGGCATTGATGTTTAAAAAGTAGTCATCAATTGGTTCTTTTTCAGATGAACTGACTTCTTTCTCATCAAAAAAGGTGATACT